GGAATGATTTGAAACTGCCCAAATACATTGAACATATTGTTCTTAGAACAAACAAACAGAGAGCTTCATGCTACAAGTCAGGACCAGAGTTGAATGCAAGCTCAACTTGTGTATTTAATGTTTAACCCTTTACAGAGCATAGTCCCCAGTGTCATCACATTCTAATTGCTGGATCTATGATTTCCTTTGAAAATTGGTCGTGAATGAATGTCCACATAATTAATATTCTCAAAAGCCACAAAAATTAATACTCAGGTTGCATGGAACTAACAGCTGTAACTATATTTTTCAAATGCTCAGTTCCCATTGAAACCATCCAAAATGCATGATTACTTGTAACACCTATTTAAACACACTTTGTTTTAGTTTTTAGAAAAGATTTGGAAAAAGATTAAATTATGCACACCGAGATAGTAGCAACTGCAGATGCTGGAGAATCTGAGATAACAAGGTGTAGAGCCATGTGCCTTCCTCTACATCGGGGAAACCAAGCAGAGGCTTGGCGACCGCTTTGTGGAACACCTATGCTCAGTTTGCAACAAACAACTGCACCTCCCAGTCCCGAACCATTTCAACTCCCCCTCCCACTCCTTGGACGACATGTCCATCCTGGGTCTCCTGCAGTGCCACAACGATGTCACCCGAAGGTTGCAGGAACAGCAACTCATATTTCGCTTGGGAATCCTGCAGCCCAATGGTATCAATGTGGACTTCACAAGCTTCAAAATCTCCCCTCCCCTGACCACATCCCAAAACCAGCCCAGCTTGTCCCTGCCTCCTTAACCTGTCCTTCCTCCCACCTATTCCCTCCTCCCACCTCAAGACCCACCCCCATCTCCTTCCTACTAGCCTCATCCCACCCCCTTGACCTGTCCATCCTCCCTCGACTGACCTATCCCCCACTAACTCCCCACCTACACTCACCTTTACTGGCTCCACCCCTGCCTCTTTGACCTGTCTGTCTCCTCTCACCTCCTTTATCCATCTTCTATCCGCCTCCCCCTCTCTCCCTATTTATTTCAGAATCCCTTCCCCTCCCCCATTTCTGAAGAAGGGTCTAGACCCGAAACATCAGCTTTCCTGCTCCTCTGATGCTGCCTGGTCTGCTGTGTTCATCCAGCTCTACACCTTGTTATCTCAAATTATGTACACCGATGGAATATGATTAGTAGCTTATATTGTTCTGAGTTATGAGTCAAACCTCAGATATAAATCATATCCAACGGATTTGTGTACATTTTGAACTCAACCAGTCCATTATTAAGTTTGTTTACTATTCTTCAGTTAAATTCACTGTGAGACTATCGCAAAGATTCTTGACTGAATAAGCAACATACCTCTAAGATGGTTATGTATCATCATAACATGTGGCATATCCAAAATATATCCAATTGCTTTCATCAATTCTTGCTCAGTGTAATTGAGTCAGTTTATTGTGTTCAGTCAGTCAGTTATTTACACCTAATGTAAAAGTAATAGCAAGCACAGAATGCAGACTTTGTCTAAGATATAAGTCCAAGACATCATAACAGTGTAAATAGTGTCATTAATAAACTTCAAGACATCTGTGTCAGCAAGAACCCAGTTTTAGTGGTATATGTTATGTGTGCTAACATACAATGAAGTATTTTGACCATATCATATTGACAATTATGTTTTACCAATGAAACCAGATCTTAAACAAAATAAACAAATCACTCAATGAACGAGGCATATGAGTCGATACCTATTTCATATACTTACATTCTATTCACAACACTGTCTTTTATTCAACATGTAATGTAGGGTGAAACATTATCTACATTCCAACAGTTTGCATTAAGCTATCATAAACATAAAAATATATACTTTTGTCTGCACACAATGTTCTGCTTACTCATTGAGTTAATTTGGAGGGCAGAACCTGATGCATATGGAGGCACCTAGAATGCACAGGGAACTGGATGCATCTATATGACGAGAACAGGTTATATTTGTATAGAATACTTTATGGAATAAACAACTGAGCATTAGGATTCTGGAAATGTCCCAGAGGATTGAAAAACTGTCGATGTAACACCATTATTCAAAAAAGGAGACAGGCAGAAAAATGTAGCCATTAGCCAGTTAGCTTGGCATTGGGAAAATGGTAGAGTCCATTATAAAGAATGTAATAGCAAATCATTTCTAAACACATAACATAATCAAATAGAGTCAGCATGACTTCATGAAGAGAAAATCATTCAAGAAAGGAGGCAGAAAGAAAAGAGAAACATGTTAGCCTGACATTAATTATCAGAAAAATGCTGGCATCTGTTGTGTAGGAAATGGTAACACTGCACTTAGAAAATCATGGCATACTCAGAAAAAGTCAGTATGGCTTTATAAAAGGAAAATCATGTCTTAAAAATTCATCACTGTATTTAAGGATGTTAGCTAGCAAAATAGATAAAGGAAAACCAGTGGTTATTGTACACTTGAATTTAAAAAAAAGGATTTGGTAAGAAACCACGCAAATGGTTAATGCCCAAATAAGGGTTCATGGATTGAGGCACAACACATTAATTGTTTGGTTAACAGAAATGAAGCAAAGAGTTGAGATAAGTAGGCATATACAAGTTGGCAGTCTTGACTCAACAAAGCTGCAACGGTCGGTGTTGGAGCTATTTGCAGCCTACATTCTTGACTTAAGTGAAGTGATGGAGGATACTGTATTAAAATATGATGACCATGCAAACCTGAGTGGATATGTAAGCTATGAGAAGGGCATAAAGTGGCTGTAAAGAAATACAGGCAAATTACAAGCAACAAAATAGCATATAGAGCATAGTATGGGAAACTGTGAAGTTATTCTCCTCAGTAGCAAGAATAGAGAAACAGAGTACTTTTTAAAAACCATGCCATCTCTAAAGATTGAATTCATACAAGGAAAGCAGAAAGTTAGCATGCAAGAGCAGCAAGTTACTCGGAAAGCAAAAAAATGTAAGCAATAGGATTAGAGTGCAAGGATAGTGAAATTTTACCACAATTGTGTAGGCTGTGTGTAATTTTGATTTCCACATTTAAGAACTAATTTATTTGCATTGGAAGCAGTAAACTAAAGGTTCACTCTATTGATTCTTCTGATGAGAGGGTTGTTCTATGATTAGAAGCTGAGTAATAAAATAGGACATGTAGCAAAACAAGTTGTAAGGATGCAAAGAAATATGGTTGGATTAAGTGAGTAGGCAAAAATTTGGCAGGTGGAAAATGTGAGTTTTCCCTTTTAATGCAAAAAATAGAAAATTTTTTTAAAAATTAAAATGAGAGAATTCCAAATGCCTATGATCCAGAAGAATCTGGGTATTCTTGTACATGAATCACAAAAAACTTTGCATCTAGCCACATTAGTAATTAGGAAGGCAAATAGCAAGTTGACCATCTGGGTGTTTAATAAAAGGTCCATCTTTTGATATTCTTTGTAAAAGGAATGGACAATGAACTGGAGCTCAGGTTCTGAATGAGGGCACATACAAGCGTCACCTGCATACTGAAGAAGCTCAATGACTGAAGTTGGAGTGATTTTGGTTTTGGATTGAAGGTGGCTTAATTTGAACAGTTTCTCCATCCATAGATTATCTCCATGCTGTGGGTGGTTTGTTGGAGTTGAGTTGCATTATTGCAGTGTGGAAAAGGGAATCTTTTGGCATAATGACACAACATTGTGTTATCCCAGTCTTCACTGGGGTAGGATTTGTGATGGTTCCTTTTCTGAAGATTGTGGATTGCATATCACTATGGATTATACAGAGGATGGGGACAAATTTCTGAGGGTAGCCTAATTTGAGAAGGATG